AGGAGAAACATACAAATTTTCAGTTTTGCATTTTGTGTTTTTTTTATGGGCATTTTCATGTTTTTTACTACTACTTCACTCCTGTTGATGAATGTTCACCAAATTTGGCATGATGGTTTGTTGGGTCGATGTGAAGATATATGCAAATTTGTTGTTTGACACTTTTGTTTTGCAGTTTTTATGGCCATTTTTTTACAATTACATATAAAGGAAGCAACTTTTGATGTCCTAAGATAACCTTTCATTAATCATGAATTTATGTAACTTCCATCCAAGAAACGGGTACTCCAGCTAGTAACAAATAATGATTATCATAATAATAATAATATTTGCCATTTATTATTATTATCATCATAATCCTCATCTTATTATTAACACTGCTGCTGCTGCCAAAATACCACAACAAGTAAGTACAGATGTGTTGTTTAGATGGTTTATTATATGTATGTTCACTAGCTATATCTGACAGGTTTTTGTAAGTTTGTTAAACTGTTGGCTAAACTATGTTCAATGGTTCATATTTCTGATGTTTTCTCCAGGATTTTAAATAAAATTTAATCTTTTGTCAACCTATATTTCACTTCATATTTAAGAAGCATAGTTATTAGGACAACCAATTTTAGATTGTATATCTAGTCATTTTATATTCAAATAACCATTCGTAGTCAAGTGCTTCAGTTTAGATGCAGGTTTCATTTCAATGAAACAAAGGAACAAGTCTTCTGAATCGACTCTAAAACTGAGCTAAATCAAATGCATTGAGTCAGTAGAATGAATTGAACTGCTTATCACAACCACTATTTGGCTGTTACATGCCAGTCATACAAGTATAGATAGTGCATTCACACTCACTTGCCTATAATGTTGTTCATACATTTTTATGCTATAGCTAGAAATAGCCAGCAAACGTTTTTAGCTTCAAAATGTTCACATTTTTATTGAAATAAAGTGTATATTCTGTAATAATCTGCATAGGCATAAAAAACAAAAAAAAACCAACAACAAACAAACAAGGACCAAAACTGCCTATAATTTAAGCATTTTTGATAACTGCCTTCTATACTCTGGATTTTTCCAAGGCTTTCAAGGCCTGAAAATTTTGACTCTTAAGTTTCAACACTTTTAAAGTACTTTCCAGGACCTGTGCAAACACTCAAATTCAATCAGCCCTCTGAATATAGTATTAGTTATTTTGACTAAACTTGTAACTACCATGTAAACATAAAATTATACATAACTTTTTGTGTATTAAGTATATCTTCACAAAACCTTTTAGTACACATTATAAATGTTTTGTACACAAAAAAAAACAGCTATTTCAATAAATTGTTTTTACTAGAAATTTGTTTAGTAAATTCACTAGTCTGAATGAATAGTAATTTTTATGTTAACAATCAAAATACTTTTTTCATCTTTAGGTTTTCATTTTCATAACCTCTAGAACCTCCTAAACAAATATCAAAAGTTTTATCAATAAAACTATATTTTATGTTATTTTCTCTACCCTAACAATAACTGTAGGGAAATCAGAAATATATTGAAAAACTAAAATTTGGAAAATAAAAAATAATTCTAAATAACCCTTTTCTTTGTTTGTAGAATGACTGCATATTGTAATAGACACCCTGTTTGTTTTTACAAAGCTAGCAGGTACTGCAAATCTAGTTTCATTTACTTTTATTGCTTTACAGTTGCACTTAAGACTCTCTCTCTCTGAGTATGCTGAAAACCTTTTATCATAGCTTAACAGCTTTGTGTAAATGAAAAATTGAGTTAAAAACTTTTATTGCTTTACAGTTGCACTTCAGACTATCTCCGAGTACCCTGAAAACTTTTTATCATAGCTTGACAGCTTTGTGTAAACCAACAATTGAGTTAAAAACTTTTATTGCTTTACAGTTGCACTTAAGACTCTCTGAGTATGCTGAAAACCTTTTATCATAGCTTGACAGCTTTGTGTAAACCAACAATTGAGTTAAAAACTTTTATTGCTTTACAGTTGCACTTCAGACTATCTCCGAATACCCTGAAAACCTTTTATCATAGCTTGACAGCTTTGTGTAAACAAACAATTGAGTTAAAAGCACACTGCTATTGAATTACAATCAATCCTTACAATGAGCAGATGCTATGATAAAAGTATCAAGTAATTTTTATATTTATTTAGCTTTTCATTTAGATATTTTTTATCTAACCTAATAGGTTTCTAATTTCTACATTTTAGTTACTTCTATAAAGATAAATAAAAAATTATACATAAAAAAACAAGAAATTTAATAATTACATATGGACTTGTCTTTTTGCCCTTGGAAGACGAAACAGCATACGCCTATTTTTTGTAATGATGTTGATGTTTCAAAATATAATTATCTTTTATTTTAAATATGCAATTTAGAATAGAAAAATATAGAAAATCCTAAAACTACTATAATATAATAGTCTTTCTAACTGAACAACATGTAGATAAAAAAATTCTCTTAACTAGTCACAAATTTAAACAATGAAACTAAGAGAATTTCAGAAAGTTTCTGAAAAACAGGATGATAGGAAGAGCGTGGCATGTGGGTTTAATTTTCTCATTTATATCTCAGTAAAGCAAGAAACTTGGAGGCTATTACTACACATTCTAGCTTTTCAGTATCTATAGTATCAGTATAATTCATAGGAAACTCAGAAGATCATGTAGAGAAATAAAATCTAATTTGGCAATTTGGAGCACAAATGCATCACATGACACAGAGAAGTGAGGAATAAGAATGTATTTAAATATTTCCTTGTGAGTTATACACTGTGTTTTGTTGTCAAGTTTACTGACATACATTGATAATAAATTTGTTTAAATGAATTTTGAATGTAACTCTAAAAAAGTCACGACATGCACATTTTTACCACCTATATTTGTAGAATTAATCAAAAATACTTCATAAGTTTTTTTTCAGAAAAATATACTTAGATACATGTACTCCACTGAAGTGAAGAAAGTAACACAGATATTCAATACCATAACAAAGAAGAAAAGGTATTAGAAAAAATGTTTAAAAAAGTATCATTCATAGACTTCAAACTACTTGTTCAAAGTTTCTTCTTCTTGAATGTTTGTAGTAAAATTAAACTTGATTGTGGTTCAGTGTTTAAACTTATAGTTTCCCAGTATCCATTTCAACATGTCTCTGTGTAGAATAAATGAATACCCATTTCATTCTCCAGCTGCTGAGTTATGCAATGGTTGAACAAATATGTCATAGAAGTAGCTTGTGTCACTTTTTCAGATTGAGATATTTTTTGATTATGTTCCATAATGTTGCCTCTGGTATGTGGATGGCTTTTGCAACTGAACTTTGCTTACCATGGTTTTAATATGATTTATTGAAAGTCTCTTTCTAGATGGTCCTGGTGTCTCAAGTTGATACACATTCCTTTGTTTTCCAATGCCATTCAGTACAAAGGGTATTCCCATCTTAGAAATCCCTGATCTAAGCACATCTTTTTAATCTGAGCACATGAATATTTTGTGTTTTGAATGGAATTTACATACCCTTCCTAAAAATAATCACATTTTGGTGGCATTGCATTACCTACAAAATGCCATACAATGTCAAAATGTAGTTCTGATATGTTCCATTCCATCATGAATTTTAATCTGCTGTAGTTGTCACATGACTTCCTAATTCACATATTGAAAAATTAATTTAATATAACATACTAAATTCTCAGTATAAGAGGAATATATATGGCCATAAGAGTGAAAAAGTTAGAGAGGAAGAGCAAGGAATCCTGAAAGTGTAAAGTGATAAGTGAAACATACCTCAATAGGAAGAATGAAGAAAGCAGCTATGGAAGAGAGCTCAGGAAGTTGTTGATGTTCGGGTTGTTTAGAGATATTTTTTTTTTATCCCTTTGGTGTTCTTGGAAGAGAAATGCAGATCATATTTGATTGAAATGTATAACTTAATCATGGTTCTAGGTCACTTTGAAAGATTTTATGCATGAGGCTTCTTTGAGTTTCCTTACTTTTCAATGTTATGCATAGTTTGTAATTTAGTGTTAAGGCCAGTGAATAGAATTACAGGTGTTGTAATTACATTCATCCAATGCTTACTTTGCCAGATACTGTAGTTTGTTGACAAATTGTTATTGCTTTATTCTCCAAGACACTGTTCATTCAATTTCTCTAATGTTAGTGTATGTTTGTCTACTGAACAGATCTTTGTAGATCTTTGGTTCTTAACCATCATCCACAGATCCTAGTTATTCATGAGCATTCTACACAGTATCCACGATAGTAAAGATTAAGTTTCCATATTATAGTTTAAAAATTTCACTGCTTTACATACTTATATATTTCAATATCACTTTTATACATTGTAGGATCAGATTCTACAAATGGAGCTATCTGAGTATATTGTCTACTCATGTTCTTTAGATAATAAGAACATATCATTTAAATAATAAAGACAATTAAATGACCCTGAGATTTAAGGCATCATGTAATCTGAAATTACTTTGACTTAAGACAAATCATGCACACAATTTTTGATTTAGAAGTCAAATAAATATAACAAGTATAAAAAATGTTTTTAAAATATACATGTATATACTTCTCACAGGCCTACCTCAGAGGGGTTTGTACCATCAAGAGGTTTTTGTCCATATGAAAAAATTTCCCATACAGTTGTCCCAAATGCCCACACATCAGCTGCGGAAGATTTACTGACAAGAGTAAATTTTGCATAGTACTCTGGTGGAATCCAGTGTATGCTGGAAAATATTTTGGAAAATTTATGATTTTTATTCCACCACTCAGATAGAGATTTGTGATAACAGAGCACTACAATATATGTGGATTTTTATTTCCTATGTCACTAAACCTAGCAGTTAAAAATTTATGGATAGCTTCTACCCCAAATTTGTACAATCTTACATTTTTAGCAAATTAAGAACTTTGATGGACATAAATAAAAAAACAAACAAACAGCCTATTACTAGTGAGAAAAGTTAACATTTCTTAAAGGTTTCTTCCTTTGCCCATCTAAGCATTGGTCTGAATTTTTCTTGATTGCTCCAGTCTTTTATACCCCACTTAATTGCTTTTGATGGTATTTGTCTTGTGATACTCTCCACCTACATCAACGTATCCTTTATTCTGGTACTGTATATAAGTATCTCATTCAGATCATGTTATCCTTTTTTGAGGCTGACTCAATCTCAGTCTCTAACATCAGCTCTTAGTGGGGAGGAAGGACAGGAAAGTATGAGACAAGATAAGTATTATTGTAAATACATTTTTAATTTAAGAAAATGTTAATTCAAAAACATACTTACCTATGCTCACACTTATAGCTAGAATTCCACACTGATAACATGGAGGGGCTGATGAGGGCATTATCCATACATAAAGCATCTGCACAGATCATGGGTGCATCAACAGACAATTGGCACCATAGTGGGAGAATCGCACTACATTCAGAACAGGTATGCTCGTCACACGGAACTTAATTCATGTACTGTGGGTGGAATTTTACATGATTTGTCATCATTATTGGCTAGGTCCCAACCAAACAGCCAAGGTTCCTCTACTCAGGGTTGGAATTACAGGGCCATGGTCATTATATCCCATGTTGGTATGTTGGTGGCTAGAGCAGTTGGACCACAATCTATCTATCTATATATATATATTTATATATACATGTATAAAAACCAGAAACAACAACATAAAATTGAAACTCAAAACAATGCCTCTGCTACCAGTAATTAAGAAGAATCAGTAAGGGATAAGAGCTGAGTGCTTGAAACCCACAATATCTAAACTCCAATTGCCTTTCACTGTCTGCAGCCAGTAACCCTTAATGTTTAGATATAACTTTAACGTAGAATTAAATCAACCCAATAAAAATTTCTACAAAGTAAAATTCCTAACATCCATCCTTTTAATTGATGTTATAAATAATAATATAATATACTTATAGTGGAGCAAAGCCACCTTTAATTTCTACAAAACTCCTAACCTCCACCATTTTATTTGATATTATAAAAATGTTAAGCAAAATAAGAGACCCTTACCTTATGACTTAATAACAACAGCAAGGAATCATAGCGGAGGCATGCTTTTGAGTTTCCATTTTATTATGTTGTTTCTAGATTATATTAAGATTTTAATAGCCTATGAACAATTAATGTATTGCAGAGCATTGTATATATTGATTTATATACAGACACACACACACACACACTTATGAGTGGATCCCAACCTGTAGCCATAGAGTGATGCATTCCAAGCCACAGGAATCACAACAAGAAGGAAAGCAACACTGTAATGGACAAACTTTCTCCTCAACCAGAAGAAGAAGTCTGAAAGACAACACCTGCATGCCTTACTCAACCAGAGGAAACAGAATTCATCCGGTCTGGAATTATGAACACCCATCCTCTCTCCCAAACCATTTGGGCTATATATCTTCCACTTGCACCCAGAATTATGGGGAGGATGTGGAACAAATTGTGCTCAACCAAAGACCTAAGACGGGACCACTCTGCAGTAGGAATTACATGGAGACAATGACTCTTTTCCAAGAACAATGTACTGAAGCAATACTGAAAAAAAAAAGGCCATGCTCAACCCAACTGGATAGCCAAGTGTTAAATGTGAACTGGTATTATGAGTAGGCTCCTGAAAATACTCACTCCTCAGTATAATCTAGTGGAAGTGGTTAAGATAGTAACAGGGGGGGTAGGTACAAACCCTTAGATGAAGATACTGCCAGATCATGCAAATAATGTGAGATAAAAGTATTGTGGAAGTCCACATATAAGTTCACACAATGTCCTTCAGTAAGCAATTGAACTAGGCTGCTAAGGTCATAGAAATGTGAAGAATCTGATTAGACGTGACTTGCAGAAAATTCCTCGCTTTCAAATAGAGCCCAGAATAAAGTCATTGTCTAGCATTTGTAAAGGCATTAGTGAGGACAACAAAACCTTCAAGACCCTCACTGAACATAACAATGATCAAAATCTGATCAATCATAAATAGTGATAAGATGAATTGGTGAAAAGGATTTATCCCCTTCACTGTATGAAAATGTCTTGGGTAAGAAGAACCAGTCGGAGGACGTAGGTAGAATAATAGTGATCTGTGGACAAATAGCACAAACCACCCTGTCAGGCGATGTCTGTAGGTCGGCAGCAACAAAAAATAAACCTTCAGGTAAGGTAATACATGGCATATGAGAATCAAGTCAAACAGGTGTTGAGAAAGGGCATGTAATGTAACTTTAATATACCAGTTAAGTAACTGGAATGGTCGTACATGACAAAGGACCCAAAGCTACATGAGGAATCTGGAGAGTACTGAGGACTCAAAAAATATTTTGTCATGAATATCAAATGGCAGTGGATAAAGCTGCTTTATAGAGGGAAATCAAGTGAGTTCAACCTCCTCTCAATACACCATTGCTGATATGTGTGTCATTTCCATTGAGAAATGTTTATTGTGAGACTAAGCAAAGACTGAGGCAAGGCTATCCTCATAATTAAACCCCAATGCCATGCGAAAGACTGTATAACTTCTATGCTTGAAGCTCGAGCTTCTGGTTTACCAGGTGTACCATTTCAGATCATGGCTGCCTCCACAGAGAGAACCTAAAAAGGAAGTGGAAGAGGAGGACACTTCTGAAGATACTGCAGAAGCAGAAACCAGGGTGTAGCTGCCAATCCGATGCTATCAACAGGATCTGACAATGGGTTTGAAAAAATCAGTTAGTACCTTTGGTAACATATGAATTGGAGTGAAGGTCTAGAGTTGTAATCCTGTCATATCCTGATGGAATGCATCCATTGAAAAAGTCTGAAGGTCCAATACTAGAGACCAAATTGCCAGTAGTTGGGTGTTCCAATGAGAGGCCAACTACCTATATGAGTTGCAAAGTGAAAGCCAATCCAATAAAACCTTGAGATGCAGCATCTATTTTGTTAGGAGAATCTGGTTGGGTTGAGACAATTGATCTGCTATTGCAGTCATCACCCTTGGAAAATGGCAAGCTAGTAAGGTGATATGATAGTAGTGGTCCAGAGAAAGAAGGTTCAAGATTCAAAAACAAAGATTCCTGGATAAAGTGCCTCCTCAATGAGAAACACAAGACACTACCATGGAATTGTCAGAGTGAAGCCTGATGATTGTCCCCTTAATAAGCTCAGACTATGAGGCATTGCACTTTGAAGAGCAAGAAGGACTAAAACATTGTGTAGGAAAGCCTCGTCATCTGTTTGTCGACAATGGATTTCCCAACTGTTGGTATATGCTTCCCACCCCTGAAGCAAAGAATTCATGAAAAGATGAAACTCTGGATGAGATGGCAGCAAAGAAACCCATATCTTAGTAGTGTACCGACTTAACAACCCCTCAAGATCAAAGAATGATCCTAACTAAGGAAGCTGGGGAATACAGTGAATCAATGTGTATGATCCCTTGATTGGATAAAGACTATTAAAAGGATCTCTTGTGTTCTCGTCATAAAGGCATGAGGGATTCGAGTGATGCCCATATTCCCAGAAGAGATATAAGCATCCATGCAGTGGGAGAAGGAGAGGTGAATAAGAGTCAGGCTTCCTGTTTCATAGTCGTGGAGCTGGATGGGAGTCAGCTGAGTGAAGAAAAAAAACAAAAAACCCCAGACTGATGACATATTAGAGCAAGAATAGAAGTCTCAGCTCTGAGAATGAAGCTTGCCTTGATTATTTTTGGAAGTAGAATCAGGGTGTGATGTTCTGACAATTGACGAGATGGTGCCAGCAGTAACCTGTCATCTATAAGACGATGTGTACACATTGCTATGGAATAGAGGTGACAAGAAAAACTCGTATGATTAGGCAGAACCAACATGAAGCTGATGCTAGTCTGAAGGTAAAAACCCTTAACTGCAGTACCTGACCCTTGTGGACAAAAAGCACTGATAGTGGGATGCCACTACTATGGCAATGTGGCGATAGGAGCCAACTACAATGAACTTGAACACCCATAATCCCAGTAAAAAAAAAGCCAACTCTGAATTAGAAATGAGTAACTTGTGAATCCTGGAGAATCTAGGCATTGATATAGATGAGAAAGATCGATAACTGGACACCAATCTCCTGTCTGCATAGGCCCAACAACTGACAAGAATAAAAACTCTGAAGAACAAGCATGACTATCTCACTATCTCCAGATCAACCAAATTCTGATATCCCTAGAACTAAGTTCCAAAACTCAAGGATCTATGGAAGATGGAAACCCTACAAGTAGGGTGGATAACAGCGGTTATTATGTGAACTGAATGACAAATCCTGACTCAAGGACTTGTAGTGTTCCTGGATCCATGGTTAAGGTCACCACACATTCAGAAGTTCTTGGAACAGAGCCCTGAAGGCATACAATAATCATCAACACTTCTGGAAGCATTCTGACCAAGCAGCAGAACCCTTGGATATAGACAGAAACTATTCTGGGTACCAATGTACCAAAGGGCTGAAGTTGGAGGTCGGGACTCTTGAATATAGGCAGAACTATGACCCCCTGTAGGAGTCGATGAAATTTGAGATGCCAACGACAACATAGATGAATGTAGAAGCCAACAATTGAACCAATGTGCATACTAACAATGGTTCCAGCTCGTCATCAATGAAGTCGGTGATCCTGAGAGTCTCTTCCAACAAAGTGTAGTATAAGGAAAACAAATAGTTAGATTTTAGAGTTGCAAGTCCATTGACTTATCCTATCCCACCAGGGGATGTTGATCATTCAGGTTAAGTACAAATTCTGTCTTAAAACTCGAAATTTGAGGAGTGGATGTATTATTTGAGAGTTGTAATATGCTTCCACCTGGCAGTTGTAGGCTAAATCACAGAGTTTGAACAACCGTGTCGGGGAAGGCATAACTGTCCATTCACATAACTGAGAAATAACCTACCTGCATGAACCACAATGTCTTTGGATAGAGAGAAAACTAGATATTTGCTCCCAGACCTTTCAGCCATCAAGTAAGGTGCAGGCTCCAAAGCAACTGAGTTAAGACCCAAACCATCGAACTCTTGATGAATCAACTGACGAAACCAAGTCAAAGGCAACTTATCCCAAAGTGGCCTCCTTTTTTTATTTCATTTAAAGACTGTGTTAATTAGAGTTGATTGGAACACCATTTAGTCAGGTAAGTTTGTTTTGTTAGAGAAAAGCAATGTTGGGCTATCTGCTGTGTCCACTATAGGGAATTAAACCCAGGATTCCAGTGTTGCAAGTCTGTAACATTACCACTGTCCCATAGAAGGACTAAAATACCAACAGACTAAAAGAAGGCACAGAAAAAAGCAAATCTAAATTCTCTCCAGAATGTCAAGAATTGCCCTAAATTGCAGCTTCAGAGCCTCATGGAGGAACACCAGGACCAAATATGTCTCTATCTCACTACAAATAAGATCACTGATAGTGTCAACTGAGTGAACCCTCCCCAACCCCCACCCGGATATTGTGCAATGCTATGCATCAGGGTGGGATATTTTTTAAAATGAAAATCAACTAGGCAATATGGAGAACATTCAAAGTATCTCCAAATGATCATAGCACTGGGAAACTCACTAGTGACACTTTGTCAAGAAAAAGAGATAGCATTATCTGAATGAGGTGCTAATATACACTACCAAGATAGAGGGTACACCGACGTAGGTGGAGAGTGTCACAAGACAAATATTGCCAAGGGCAATTAAGTGGGGTATAAAAGACTAGAGCAAGCAAGAAAAAAACAGACCAATGATTAGATGGGCAAAGGAAGAAACCCTGGAAGTCGAGTAATAGCTGTAAGTGTGAAAGGAAGTATGTATGTTTGGAATAAAACTAATTCTCAAAATTAATGAACAAATGCACAATACAAAACATCAAATGAGTTTACAGTGACCAAACATATATGTTAATAGATTCAAAACATACAACAGAACATACATATATACTGTCTTTAAAAATACAATTATTTACAGTGTGTCCAAAAAGTCTGAAACCAAAGGCACTTCAATGAATTTTACAAAATGTGTTCTACATTTGAAGCAAGTTTGGATTAACAGGAGGATTTACTAGACCTTCTCAAACTTTGAAGTGCCATAATCAGTCACATTTCTGAAATTAAGAAAAGCTGAAAATCACCTAAGGTTCCAGATGTTTTGGACACCCTGTACATTTTTGGTAAATGAATTCCTGGTATTTAAATAATTCACTTATATACATTTTACAAGCAGAGAAATTACTTAGAATACAATAACTCAATAAGTAAAAATAAAAGCACCTTTTCTAATACGAGTAGTTGGGTTATATGTATTAAAGTAAAACAGTATCTATATTTAATGATAACAGAAAACTGATATCTGTTTTTATGCATGATGGCTAGATAATGCTTTGATCTACATCAGTTTTCAACATTTGAACCTGTCACTTTTGTTTTGAATCTTGAGGAGCTTTCAAAGTAGCATCATAAATATACACATAAAACTTATAAGCTTTTGAATAAAATAAACAAACGAGATGTTATTTAAACTTATATATAACTTAACAAAAAAAATGGAAGATGCAATGATAACCTCTTATAAAAGTGATAATGCATCATTTCTTGTTATGTAACACAAAGCAAGGGCAAGTCCCTTACTAACCAAAAAGTAAATAGTCATATTTAATTAGCCATGGCATAGCAGTTCATAGAATGGCTCCGAGTTACTTTTTAAGTACAAACTTACAGCTCATAGCTCCACCATCTCTTGATCAATTTGAGATCTAATTATAGTTTTGGACTCAGGAGGTTAAACCCTTTCTATTGATATATTTGATGATGCCCAAGGTCTCATAGATTAATTTACTGTAATCCTGCCTGAAATAATTTCAATTTGAGGGTAGAGATCCTGATGAGTAATAAAATTGAATCAGTTATACATATGCCCCATGCTTTGTATTGCTGGCGCACAATACAAAACTAATAAAAAGGAAAAAAAAGTCTCATAGATTAAGTTAGTCTAATCCTGCCTCAAATAATTTCAAGTGCTGCAGCTATTGAGGCTTCCCTCTTGCTTTAATATATTAGGTTATCAAGAAATTAATGTTGCTTTTTTTCAGATGAAAAACCCAAACAACTTATATATCAAAACATTTATTAAATTAAATAGTAACCACTCTTATCAATGATGCTTTTCCATCTTACAATCAGGTTGTTAATGCTCTGATTAAAGAAATCACTTGGCTTTGAAGCAAAAAAGATGTCGATGTCATCTTTAACACCTTCCACATTTGCATACGTTTTCCCTTTAAGATGGTGTTGCAGCTAACGAAAAAAAGATGGTAATCTGATGGTGCTATATCTGGAGAATATGGTGGGAGGCAGGGGGGGGGGGAGAACTTCCCAACCTAACTCCATAATCTTTCCAGTTTCTGACTATAGATCTCTGCATTGACAGTTCATTGTGCATTGAGGAGTTCGAAAAGAATTACAACTTTGATGTTCCACCAAATGCAAAGCATCACTTTCTGCACATGGAGTCAAAGTTTTGGGGTCGAAAGTGATTTTTGTCTAGAACTGAGCCATTGTTTTTGCCATTTAATATTCGCATAGAGAATCCATTTTTCATCACCGTTGACAAAAATGGTTCACATGCCAGAAGAGACGAAGCTACGTTCATGTGTTGGAAATGATCATCATCGAAGAGTTCGTGAGGCTCCCAAACACCTTCTTTATGGAGTTTTCCTATATTCCTTAGATGTTTATGTATTGTTTCATGAGAAAAAATACGATTTCAAAGCCATTTCACGAGTGTGTTGCCTTGGGTTAGACTCAAAAAAGCATCTTCAGAGCACCAATATCAATTCCAACATGTCGGCCCCTGCCATCACAGTTTTTAAAGCTAAAGTCACCTAAACGAAATTTGCTGAACCACCATTGACACTTACAAATGTTCAAAACATTTCCATAAACTTCTTTGATATTCTTTGTGGCTACAGAGCCGTTGTTTCCCTTCTTGTATTCAAACAGCATTACATGCTGAAAGTATGTCTCATTGTGTGCCATCAACATAAGGGATTAGAGTATACTAAACTTTACACATAAAATAGACTACACTAACATGATGTTTAGGCAGTTCATTTAACTATTATAAATGATGTACGTTTTTTGGGGTGGTTACTGAAAGTGTTCCAAAATGCAACATTAATTTCTTGACGACCTAATACTATTGTAATTGCCATAGTTTTATTTTTATGTATACTCTTTCACTTTTTCTCTTGCTAGGTTTATGTTGTGGGATTTGGGCAGGTGCTTTACTAAACAAATACTGGGTCTCAATCTAAAAAAAAAGTTGAAAAAATTTGTCACCACAATAATTCCTTTGGAATACAGTTTTTACAAGGAGTTACATATATGATTTGGAAACAATAATTCATACAATAACATCAAAATCTGCAACTTTGTAAGATTTTCAAAATCAGTCAGCAATATCCAGTTTTTCAAAATTCAGAACTCAACACATACTCAGATAATGAATAAGAATATATTCCAGGATCAGCAAGTTTTACTCTGAAGGAATTTTCTGTGTGTGATACTACCAGTACATTTCTGCACCTAATCTTTCCATGTATACATTTATGTTCCTCCTGAAAACATCAAAAACATTTCTTGTATTTTAAAATAGAAACCATTTAAAACATTAATAATAAACTATTACCTTACAATAAGTTACATAAACAGCATTATCAATATTATTCTTGTTGTGGTAATGAAAAAATATAACTTACAAGAAAAGTTATAATTTTCAAATCATTCAGGATTATGCTAAATAATGAAACTATTTTCATGTTATATCTACAATAAAAACTTAATAGTATCCAACAAATGCACAAAAACATTATAATCATGGTTTTCACTAGGGTCACACAGTGAAGGGTCCTGGACTCTGTTTTTTTTTGTTTTTGTTTTCAAAAGTCCCAGTGAGATTTTCAAGGGACCCATTGGTAGAATTTAATAAAATACAAAGACAAGAGGGAAAAAAGCATTTCAGTGTCAATTAAAAACTATTTATAAAGCACACTACATGTTTACCTTCTGCAAGTGGAAAAAAGCATGTTAATATTCAATGAAAAACTTTATTTACAATTTATAATGCATGTTGTTTCCCTTTATGATTTTATATCACTATTAAAGAAGTTAAGTGTACTTTCGTGCTCAATAAAAACTATTATTTATAATGTACACAACATGTTACTTACCCTTAACAAGTGCTAAACTAGGACAATATGCAAAATGATAAAATGAACAGCTTTTCCAATAAACATAAAAATATCTTCTGTTTTTAAGGTATCATTCCTTCAAAGTCACTACTTGATTTCCAAAGTAGTTTAAATCTTATAACAATATACATCTATTTAAACTTAAACTTTATTGTTTTATTGCCTTTGAACCATGTCTAACTACTATTTGCACTATATAAATTGCAAATCACGTGGCTTACACGCAGCTCATATTACAATTATAATTATTACTATTATTATTTATTATACTTTATCTAACCTTAAAAGTTTTCAGTTTTTTTACATTTTAGTTACTTTTATAATAATAAATAAATAATACACATGAAAAATAAGAAATAAAATACTTACCTGGGTCTTCTTTTTTTGCTGTCGACTGTCGATGGAACTTAACCATACTTTTTTATGCTGATGGTACTACTGCATTAAATAATTTTTATTTAATTAAATAATGCATCAAAGAACACAGAATAATAACATGCAAAAAAAACGTTTGATAACTATAACAATTTTTCTGGCATTTTTAACTGTGCGACAAAAGCTCTTAAAAATTAATTTTAGCCCATCAATGTATTTTTCATGGGAATAAAGTTTGAACTGGAAGGAAATAAGACAATTCTATGTACAGAAAACAATGTAATATAATGTGTCATTTCATAAAGAAACATTTTGACTTTCTACTGGTTATAAATAATATAGTCTTAAATGCCAAAAAGAACTATTGACAAGTTCTGAAAGAGAGAGGATGTGACAGGTGAGCATGGAAAGAGGGGTCTTATATTCTATTTTATTGCTCTGTAACTAAATAAGATTGAAGACTATGTAAATTATGCTTTGCCTGAGCGATGACAACATTATAAAAAGTAATTAACATTACACTTTGTACTTCTTGGATGGGTGTTAAAACGATTAGAGAAGAGGGAATACATAGATAACAAACATCACAGTTCTCATCCTAGAAGAGATTAAAATTTAAAACTTAAATAATACTAAACTTCGATTTATTATCTAGGTTCAGATGCCAAGTTTATACATATACATTCATAATAAAGTAGTTTAACTTAATTTTGAATGTAACTTTGTGAAAGGTTATGACATGCACACTTTGACCTACCCAAGGTGAAAGGGTTAAACTTATGGTACTTTCCTCTGGCTTTATTTTCATGCAATTTATTGCCATTGATGAAACCTGTATGCAAACCGTATGCTGTTTAGTTCTTTATGGTACAAAGTTCGAAGCAAAGTATTTATGGGTATTTTGTGGTGCATATTTGGCATCCAGGAAGTCAAATCTTATGCATCCCAACAAATCCTCAAGCGTATGGGACCCGGGAGTTTGGGTTAACTACAACCCAGTATAATATTCTGAATTAATATGTCCAAAATCAACTGCTTTATGTCAAGGTTTAAAACTGTTATTTTATACACAAAATATTAACAACAAATCTCATGTTATTCCACCTCTAGAAGGTATGCTTCTGTTATTCTCTTAACTTGATTGTAAACTGTACAGAATATACACTGTTGTATGAGAAATCCAGCAGTGCTCATCAACCCCAAAACTGAAAAGAACTGGAAGAGATACAATGATTTTCTTTTTTATTATTGTAATACAATATCTATATAGATTCTTGTAAGTCAGTAATCATAAAGGACAATAAGGTCAACCAGCATATTTTATGTTAAAATTGCAATTTGTTCCAGTTTAACCTGCAAATAACAAATATGACTAGGAATCTAAATAAAAAAACTGAAACTTATTAATTGCTTCTAAAGTAATATGCTACAAAGTAACCTACATGGATTAATACTTTCGCAAAGTGCTCATGTATTTACATAGCTTTATAACCATGGTAGTATTTTCTACACTATAACTCTAAACAGTATCGGTTGATTTGACCACCACAAAAATTAGGAAATAAACCTAAATTATCCTTATTTATTTCTGGAATTATTACAAATTGTAACAGGAAACCACAATTGTTTATCCTAACTAGCTTAAACTTGTAACACTATACATCTGTTTATACTTAATTCTATTGCCCTTTGAATAGTGCTTAACTAGTAATCCCACCAAGCATGTTGTAAATCACTAGACAAATGTGCTGCTCACATTAACATATCAAATTACGTAAAATATGAACTACTCGCAAACACACTTCATAAAGGATTTTTATTATTATAATTTTTTTCATTATCTTACCTAATCTAACCTACCAAGATTCTAATTTTAACATTTTGGTTACTTTTATAATAATAAAGAATACACATGAAAAACAAATATATTACTTACCTGGACCTTCTTATTTTTTGCTGTCAACTTTAGAGGAAACTTAAGCCTACTTTTTTCATACTAATGGTACTACTATACTAAATAAATTTATATTTAATTAAATAATGCACCTAAGAACACAGAATAATAACAAGTAAAAAATGTCTTATAACTGTCATAATTTTTCTGACTTTCCAACTATGAGATAACAGTGTTTGAAAATTCAGCAAAGCTAGTCAATTTGATTCCTATAAGAACAAATTTGAAACTGAAAAGGGAAAAAGACACTTCTCTGTACAGAAAACAAAGTAATATAATATGTCATTTAATAGATTAAAACTTTAGCTTTCTATTGGTTATAAATGCACAGTATAAAACATCAGATTGAATGACTGCCAATTTATGAAAAAGAGGATGTGACAGGGTGGCATGGAAAATAGTTCTAATTTTCTAGTTTACGACTCACTAAACAAATAAGGTTGAAGACCATAAAAATTAAGTTTTGTCTGAATAATGTCTATATTATAATAAGTAATTTCTGTTAAATTCCATAAAAGTAAATTAAAAAAGAGGGTAGACAGAGAGCAAATGTCACAATTCTCATACAAGGAGAGATTGAGGACTTAAAAAAAATATTTCTTTATAAATTTAAAAACTTATATAATATTAAAATTTGATTTATTAACTACATTCTGATGCCAAATATATTTGTACATGTTGATAAGAAAAGAAGTTTAAATAAAGTTTGAACATAATACTGTAAAAGGTTGTGACATGCACACTTTGACCTACCAGATGTGAAAGGGTTAATATATTTCTTTAAAACATTTTTTTTAACAAAGCTGACAGCAACACTTGCAAGACTATTTAAGGAAAGTGAAACTGAGGTCTAGGCTAGTGAAAGCTAAAAAAGCTAGTTTGACCAGGCAAGTAATCTTAGGGTGTTACTCATGAACATTAAAGAGAAAAAATGTTTGAGAAATTGTAACACAAATAATATGATAAAGTAAACTTTTACCCTTTTGCTCCTGTAAACTCCATAATAGTTAACTTTTGTTGAGATATTTCAGTCTTTACTAAAAACAAAGACTTAACTTAAATGTAAATCTATGCTGCTGAAGTCAGCTATCAAGATCCATTCCATTTTGATACACACTTGCCTATTAAGTGTTATGTGTCAACTACTTAAACTAGATATTTTGATTATAATTTTTAATCAAAACAAGCAGATTTTGCCATACTAATGTGCAAATATCTTAATTATTCTCTGTCTGGCAAAAGTTAAAGTAAATTGATATTTTATGACATCAGGTATGACTTCAACTTACCAAAATAACTGATTACCTATCAGCATTGATTACATTGATTTGTATCAATTAATCAAAATTACAATTGAATCAATTGTCATGGAAATATGAACTAAAATTGTTGTTTCTGATTATTCCACCTATCCAAATAATCAAAATATTGCCATTATGACTTCTCATTATGTTTTTATTATTCAGCTTCGGACTGGCATGGTCTGGTAGTTTCCTTGGGATCCAAGGATTGTGAGTTCAATTCTGGTTGCCACTAAACATGTTCACCCTGTTAGCCATGCTGTTATTTGTTTTTGAGTTATGACAAATCAGCTAAAGTTATATGCCACTGTCCTTAACTTTTAACTGCCAATTAGAGGAAAGAAAACCAGCCAGTATCACCAACTACTCTTTTACATATATATATATATATATAGTGAGATTGACAGTGACAGTTGAAAGGTTGAACATGTTTGATGCACTGGGTATTGAATCCGTGACCCCCAGTTCACTAGGCAACCACCATAACTATCAGTCTGAGGATGTTATAATGTGATGATCCATCCTATTCATTATTAAACAGCAGCCCAAAAGATGCAGTGGGTGCTGACAGCCAGTTGCTAACTCTTTGGTTGGTAGTTCAAAATTAGAGATGGTGGCATCTAACCTAAGTAGAGTTACAATAACTCAAAAACAAACATAATGCACCCAAAGCTGAAATGTAAAGCATGTTTTGGACAGTGGAATCATACTTGCAACCAAGATATATTACAAATGTA